GTCAGTTCTTTTTGTATGTAAAAACTCGAACATTTCAAACTTTTCCGATAGATGATTCCTTCTTTTTCAACATGACTTGCATCATTTTGTAGAGATCATCGAGCTCTATTTGAACCAGGTTGGTTGTAGTTTGGACCAAGTTTGAAAGTGAACCTAAAATAATTTATTCCGAAAAGCCAAGAGTAAAAGCAGTTTGCGCAACACGCCCCTTCGATGAAGCATTCCAAAAGCATTCTGTTCATGGAAAGTTGTTCATTATACTCGCCTCTCTGAGATAAGATATTGTAGTTTTAAACTGGTATCATTATTCTGAATTTATGGGCCCAACAGGGGACCTGATTCTGAAACTCACTCAGAAAACTATCCTTTAGTATAACTTTAGTAATAATAACTTTAGTTATAAACTCATACATGATTATTTTTCAATGAAAGTTTGTATAAGACGTGTTGAGTAATAACAGGATACTTCCATTCAGGTCCGAAAATCTTCCCGAAAATTTTTTCTAATTATTATTAGAATAAATAGAGTTCATCGAGCTCTACAAAATGGCTGTAGCCGATTTTTTGGCAAACGTCGCCTTCATCATCATCTTGAGTCTTGAAATCCGTAAAATATCGATCGTCTTTTAATGATTTAAGCGCGCTTTTCACTCCGTTGTCAAGAATAGACTGACTGAGAGATACAAAGGGTTAAGGGATGTTATATATACATATATGTATGATGTAATATATATATATATATATATTATCTATCCAATCAAACAGTGGCCACGGTCATTTTTTTAATAAATTTTTAACGGAACAAAATGAAGACCTTCATCTTCCAGTGTCTTGTAGCCAGGACCTGATAGCATCTTTCAATGTATAAATAAATTCTACCAATGAGGTCTACCACGGTGTACCTGATCGATGTTCCAAAGATAAGATTGTCGTTTCCTAACTTTTCATACAAGTCTAATGTTTGAAATACGTTCAACATAGAGCGACATCTAGTCTACATATATGGCAAAACCCGAGAACTTCATCTGTGTTCTTTTGGGTAGGAGGGAACTTTTCCTGAGACACCTCAGAACCCGATTTTCTTGATATTTAGAAATCTGAAAACGCATGGAAACATAGGTTAGCGCCCACGCTGAATCTTGTGGGAATGTTTGTTTTTTTCGCAAAAGCTTAAACAACTAGTAGAAACCTTATTCAAAATCGGGTTCTGAGATGTCTCAGGAAATTTCGCTCATGCCGTTCATATCGTGTTTATAGAAATTTATATTATACATCACTAAACGAGTTTAACTCATGTGTATCATCATGTATATTTGACAGTGTTTTAATGACTAGTGTTGCAGCTAAAGTTTTACTGAAAAGGATAGTTTTCTGAGTATGGTGAGTTTCAGGTTCAGGCCTCTTGTTGGGCCTATAAACTCAGAATAATGACACCAATTTAAAACCACAATATCTTATCCCATAGAAGCGAGTAATTACTCAACACGTCTTCTCGATTTGCAAGAAGAGTGAATTTGTTTCTACAAAAGTTGGTTTTTTCCACACTTTAGAGTAAATATAGGAAATTTCCCTTATTAACAAGACAAAAGGATCATGGCTACATGTTTTCGATTACTTACTACTCAGGAGCTAAATACAAAAGTGCTGTATCATTATAATGGCTGTTACAGATTAGTTTAAAAACTTGAATAAGAAATGTAATAACGCATTGAGAATCTTTTTTATTTGTTCGAAGTTAGAAGCAACAGTACCAGTTTTTGAATAACGTTCGATCGAGTATAGATACTGAACGGCGGCTTCACCATTAGACAGAAGAGATCGAAGGGCATATTGTCATGACAAAATACATTTCAGAACCGTCAGGACTTTAGTTTTCTGAAAGGATTTTTGAAGAATCAGTTAAAATTATGGAAACATATTGGTTTTTCGCTCTGTCAAATATGTCAAAGATCCGTATGCAATCATAAGATTCATGTTCTGCTTTTGACCACAATTGACTACATACATGCACCAAACACTTTTAGAGAAGAAAAGAATAGAACAGAAAAATGAGAGAACAACAAGCAGAAAAAAACAAAGTAGAAAAAGAACTGGTATCGATTATAACCGCTCATCGGTTAAGCCGGTGCATCCCTGGTGGTCACCACTGGTTTTTGCTCTCTATTCGATAGCATACCATAGAAGCTTTAATTGGTTTCGAAAAAATAAAAACGATTCTTAATGCTTTATTACATATCTTTTTCAAATCTAGTAATCATTTACCGCACCAATACTAAATATTTTGATTACTTTTGCTATCAGGTTGGTTAGCTGAAAAATTTAACGGGATAGACGGGAATTATTACAGAACCGCTCGACATATCATATTATTTGACCAAGTTGGCGCAATCTCATCTGCACTCGATCTGTTTGGAAAAAATGCTGTACAATTTCCATCGCCCAAGAAGCTGCCAACAGAAAAAGATGTTAAAGATGAAACAGTTGGTCAATCAGTTAGTGGCAAAGGATTTGTCGATAGTGATAAATCATGGACACCCCAGGCTATTGGTGCAATAATAACGTTATGTGATCGAATTGTGACTCATTGGGATCCCAGATATTTACAAGTGCAAACCACCGTCTCGCTTCATTCAATGTTGTGCGGTGCAGACAAAACATTAACTGAAGTACCGTTATCATTTGCAGGTGAGTAACATTCAGTTAGAAAGAACTTGTCGGAAGAAAGGCTAAGTTTTTAGATGATAATACGAGAGTGAGTCGGTTGGGATGGCCATAAGTCTCTCATTATAGACTTTACCTTTCATAAAACAAAGCATAAAGATGATCACTGTCTACTCTCTAAAAAGAAAGGTACATTACCGAACTTTTTTCTGCTGGGAAAATAAAAACGTAAGATGCACCCAGGGCAGCCTTGCAGTGAAATTTATTTTTCGACACTTCATACAC